TCCAAGCATCGATTTCTGAATTGCAGCGACAATCGTTCGCCTTTGCTGCTCTTCAATAAAAACTATAACAAGCAGTATTAATTAATTTTTCAAGGATAAATTTGTTTAACAGTTGATTACCCTCGGTTGATTCTTTTGTTCGGATTATTCGGCTGGGAGAAATAAAAGTGAACGGTCTCAAACTTAACGACGTTGTATTATTATTCTTATTTGTTCATCGTCTCAACGATGCTCTTTGAATCAAAAACAGATTTTATTGTTAGGCTTCCTGAAAGAAATTTCAATTGTTGTTAAGAAATTTTTGGTTGCACTCTGTAGATTATGATGATGTGTTTGATCTATTTTTCAATAACAAGATCTAACACATGATGAAAATCTACTGGGTGCAAGCTAATAAGTTCTTTACAACAATAAACAAAATTGAGGTGATATTCGGTGTGGCGTAAACATGGCAATCACATGGTAGATAAAATTATGACCATCAGTACTGGGTCTAATAAATTAAAAAGAATTGAATTTATACCCGGGTCATAGGCTAACCCCCCCCCCTCTTTCTCTTTTGTCATTGCCCTCTCCCTCGCTTATTTCCTTTTTGCCACGGAGTATGTACATGTGCATGTGCAGGCGCGTACACGAAGGGAGGGGGGGGGGGGTAACCCCCCCCCCCTCTTCATCAATTTTTGTTTTCTTTTTTGTCCAAGGGGGGATGTGACTCTAAGTGAGGCGAAACGCTGAATAATTACAACGAATCGGGTTTTTACGGGAGTGTCAGTTTATTTCAAGTCATAACCATCAAGGAGAATGCATTCTGTCTTTGATGAACGAATCTTTTATCCTTACTCATTCCACAGCTCTATTCCGTTCTTGTTTCCTACACTCTGTGAAAACTGTACATGATAAAGCATAACAGGAATGCATAACAAGTACGTGCTCATGAATATAAGTTTCACAATATTATAGCAGCTATTTTAAATAGCATTCTATAAATCAAAGGCATTGTCTGAATTCAGTGTCTAACTCCTTTCAATGTTTGCTTGTAAAGCTTATAATTATAAGTCAGACACTTGACCAATCTCTTTGAATTTCATATAGAATGTCACAGCTAACACACAATTAAACTTATATCATCTTTATCATGTCTAACTCAGATTTAACACGGTTTCAACTGAAAATGAGACCATATTTAGCGAGCTTGAATGACTTTGTCATAGTCAAGGAATACAATAACAAAGTCATAACCTTGACCTGTCATTCACACAAATTAATATGCTAACATTTCTCATCCATTTTCATCATAGAATGTTTTATTCTGCATCATACATTTTACTTGACTATTTCTCTCGACTTTAAGTAAAACTAAACATCAATTATAGATGTAATGACATGTTAGATATTCAATAGATATCTCCGGTAAGGTAATCATATGTGTGAGTACACAAGTTATACATTTGCTATACAAATTACTGCTGCTACTGTGAAGTTTCATACAATGTAAACAACTTAAAAACTACCTTTCTTACATCATCATCATCAACTTCAGGTGGCGCTGTAAAGCGCTGCTGTGGCCTTCACGAGAGCACGTCATGCAACTCTTTCACCTGCCATTTGTGCTGCACCTTTCATTCCTGGTCCAGACACTTTCTTGATATCATCAGTCCAAGATATTGGTGGACGACCTCTGCCCCGTTTTCCTTCTATCCTTGCAGTATTTGCTTCTCAATACCTTCAGATCTCCTAACAATGTGCCCAAAATAGTTAAGTTTTCTTTCCATGATTCCCCTTCTGATGGTCAAGTCTGTTCCAATCTTTTCCAGGACCCACACATTTGTCTTTTTATCTTTCCATGACACCTGCAACAGCCTCCTGTAGGACCACCTTTCTTACATTCATTTTCATAATGTTCAAATATGTGTTTTAACTATAACCTCTGTGCCTCCATAATACTGTAGAAACAGCTCTCAGGAACAAAGGATCCAGAAAACCACAGATTTTCCTCACAAAACAGAAATCATGTTGCAAACATGATCATTGTAAATCAGCCAACAACAGGTGGCTCCAAACCAGTTTTTGACCTTCAAACTAGAAAAACTTAAGAACTGTCAAAGTAATCTTTGACAAAACGCCCTCTGTAGTTTATAATGGCAATGTAAAGCTAAATCAATAAATACTAAATAAATTGACTTTAACTGGCAAATACAAACTTACAACTTTTACAGGGGGTGGGCTCAGTGGAAGAAAAAAAGAAGATTATCAGTTGATTCCCCTCAGTTGACTCTTTTTCGGATTATTTGGCGGGGAAAGATAGAAGTGAACGGTCTCAAGCTTAATGACGTTGTATTATTATTCTTATTTGTTCATTGTCTCTACGATGCTATTTGAATTTAAAAAAAAAGCTTTTAATGTTAGGCTTCCTGAAAGAAATTTCAATTGTTGTTAAGAAATTTTGGGTTGCACTCTGTAGATTATGATGATATGTTTGATCTTGTGTTAAATAAGAAGATCAAACATGGTGAAAATCTACTGGGTGCATGCCAATTTTAACACAAGATCAAACATATCATCATAATCTACAGAGTGCAACCCAACAATAAACAAATATGAGGTAAACATAAATTTAAAATATCAAATAATGCATACCAAACATATCATCATCAATCATCCTCAATACTACATTGCATTTTGAAACATACATTTAGGGTTTACAGTAGGCTTACGGATGCACCATGTGTGAGAGAGAGGGAGGATTGAGGAGTCACATGGTGCATCCGCAAGCCTACTGTATATCTACATTACCATGCAAGCCAATACTTACATGCAGCATTTAGGGTTTTGTGGAAAAGACTCATCAGGTATACATCCACGGAATACAAAGGTTATTTCAAACATTATACAGTACTTATAAATATGCTAAAATGTATTTATCTTTTGCATCATCTTCCTCATCATCTGCATAGATTGTTTACCTGAAGACAAAAGAGGTATACAAAACAGTACTATGTGGTATAGTCTCTTTCTTGCACGCCATTGTTATCATGTTCTAGCTGAAAGGTTTATATGTTGATCGTAACAAAACAAGGCAGGTTTTGAAGAAAAAAAAGGTGGTGGAGTTTTCAATGGAAAATATGACTAATATAATCATCAACGTTACTTTTTTGTTCATCTCTGTTTTTCATAAATGTTTTGTGAGTAGAGTATCAAAAGCAAGTCAGTTTACACAATCTCATTTTAGGGTATTTCAATAAAACTTAGTACACAGTCTCAAACGCTTCAAAGTTTACCAATGCTAACGAGTGACGAGTGACTGTACTTTCGCGCAAAGTTTAAATGTAATTTTGGACTTTGTCTCGGCAATGACACGCACATCCCCTCGGGCCTGTCTATAGTTATAAACGTAAAATATATATTGACCATGAAACCCGGCCCCCCACTCAGAGGTCGAAATGACCGCATTCGTGTTGCCAAAATGTACGGTAAAGGGGTACTTTTCGTGCGACAAAGTCCGGCCCGAGAATTGTAAAAAAAGGGGTGTATTTGACTTTTCACCCGGAGATTTCTTTAAAAAGGGGGTGTTTTTTCGTTTTTTCTCTCATCTCTTTGGACTCCTGAGAAATTATTCAGAATTTAAAGGGGGACCATGAGCATTTTTCCCGATTTAGGGGGGTCTCCAAGGCAGGAAAAGCCCGGGAAAAGCCCGCGAAAGGGGGGTTCGGAAATGTTGGCAGTCCTCAGATAGGGGGTGCTTTCAAAAAGAGGGAACAAGCATATACCCTTAATAACACTGAGTGGGGGGGGGGGGGGGCCGGGCCATGAAATTAATTTTTTTCAAGGCTCTTACAGACGGATTAGCCTAGAAGGAATCCCCAACTTTGGAGCTGGATATCTCCTATTTTATGACATTTCTGGAGTCAGCAGATGGGTTGTCGTAGTTAAGATAATTGCTTTCTTTTAAAAATAGTTCTAACGTTGAGAAATGAGTAATTAAAATGTTAGATTTTGGCATTGGACTCCCTACTTCTATTGTTAACACATTATTGTAAATTGTTGTTTGTTTTGTGTACATTTCATTTTACCTTTAAATTACCTGAGCATCTGGAAGAATGCTGTTGGGCTGAGCGTAGACCGAAATTTCCGTCTCTTTCGTTCGCTCGCCTCTGAATTGGGTAGGGTCGGCTCCTCTCTTTAGAGACAGAAGCCAACCATAGGCGCTCCTATGCAAACTCGGTGGAGCGGATCTGACCACCAAACTTGGCTATCAAGTTCCGTACCCCCACTAAAATTAAAAACAAATATATTGATATGTTTCAGAGTGATATACCTAATAATAATGTAATATATAACACATGGGAAACTAGGGTTAGACAATGAGAGATAGAAAGAAAGTGTAATAATATTTAGCGGGGTACATATGGAACTCTTTCCCCAAACTTATGCCCGAATACTATATTTTAGCGGATGCATATCAGACGCATTTATAGGCCTAGGCTAAACTACATCGGGTCCACTTACCAAAGTTCTTGACTGTATAATACGTTTAATGGTCCCTTTTCAGGATATGGGTCAAAATCGACATCCATGTTGAAAAACTTACAGCCGTATTATAAACTCTCGCTGCGCATGACGCCATCTAAATCTCATCCCTTCTAGTCTACGCGCAAGGCAAAATGATTATGAAGGAAAACTGTGATAAGTTGATTTTTTGGTATGTTTTAGTGGGGTATTTCCACGCTGAAGTCACTGGTCAAAAATGGATATGAAAGTACACGAGCGCCAGATCTTGTACACAACTTGCAACTTTCTCAAAAATATCTATGATATTCTAAGCAGTAATATAAATTGATCACTATATACATTTTTTTTTTCGTGAAGCAATGTGTGATTCAAAATACCTTGTCTGTTTGTAACATACAGTGACCAGCGCACGTGAGTTAACAAAGTCTCTGAAAATTGAATCTAGAATTTTACGGATATACTGTATACATGTATATGCCCCAGGAAAACCATAAACCGCCATATAGTGTTCCCCATGTTTGTGATTATATTTCATATATGTATCTATATTTATATGTTGACATTTCTCCTCAGCCTGAATACCATTCACGATGGCAAAGAGGCTGCGAACAGAAGAGATGACTGAACCCCCGAGTGATGTCACAACAAGTAAAAGGTACAGACATGTTTAGCTGCACTTTAGCATTTCACTGTGCACTGTGATACATGTTTATTAAGGCCCCCCGCCCCGCCCCCCCCCCTCAAATTTGTTTTTTTGGTTGTCCTCGATTGCTTTTCTGGAGTAGGGGCGGGCGGGCTGATTTTTTATTTTTTTTTGTCTGCGGCAATGCGAAACCTTGTGCTTGGGTCATGAGAATGGTCAGCGCATTCTGCCTGGGAGCCTCTACGGGTAGTACCAGCACCACATCATCATCCACTCTGCCATGGTCACAGGAATCCTGTAACGTTGAGCCAATGTCAATACTCAGCGCACTTATGCTCTCCCCTACTGCTTACAATTACAATTTTTAGCTCATCTTTCTCCGGGAGATTCTCAATATTTAAATTGTACAAATCTGAAATTGTTGCAATTGCAATTAACACGGCAACTCGGTCGAATAAAATGTTTGTACCGAGCTTGCAATGGGTAGACACTGTATAAGTCGCCATTTTGTTTATTTTGCAGAGCAAAACAGCGTTGCGTTGAAGTGCAAGTTTGGTTAAAAATTTATACATGACAATGTTAGTAAACCCAATTTTCTTGTGCTGAATGCAGCAAACATGGCTTTAAATAATGTTTAACTTAATGTTTATGATGTTGTGAAATAATTTTGGAAAATACCAAACGTACATTGTAAGTGTTTTTTTATTTTTTTATCACGCCACTTTTTTAGTATGAATATAACATTCATTGTGTGTGCACTACTATTTTAGGGAAATTATAGGGAATAATTTAAATGACAAACAACCCAGCCTCCAAGATACACCAACCCCTTTATAGGTACACTCAAAACAGGAACAATTATATAGGCCCTACAATTGAACATTTTTTAAAGGTAAAATATTAATAATAATAATAATAATATTGGATTCTTACATGTATATAGCGCACATATCGACCTTGCAAGGTTCTCAAGGCGCTCCAACATTACCCGGCTATGCTAGGCTGCCGATTTCAACGCTCTCAGCATTTTAAGGCATTTTCTTCATACCGGTACCGATTTAACACCTAGGTAGAGAGTGGCAAATGTAGATCAATGTCTTGCCAAAGTACATTAGTGCCGCGGCGGGACTCAAACTGCGGACCTAGTGATCGACAGTCGGGCGACGTATCCACTCATCCACGACACCTCTTCATAAATTTTTCCTCCTTTCAAATTTTTCAAAGCTTTAGTATGTAAACATATTACTTACCGGTATTATTTTTTTCAATATCACTTTAATAACGAACATGCATGATTATTAAAACAATATTCACATTTTTCTTCAACACAATACCACTAAAAAAGATGCATGAACATGTACGTACTTTGCATTAATTGATGTGATATATGTTTTTAGGTCTTACTTCTTGTGCAAGTGGGATAGGGTTATGATATTTAATTTTTTTTTTTTTTACCCAGGGAAGCCTCTCATCAGCATTAATGCTGCTCTTCCTGAGGGCCCTGCAATTGTATTACCCTAGCAGTTGGTAGAGAGTGGCAAATGTGGATAAGGTCTTGGGGGAGGGGAATACAAAAGCAATCTGAAGAGCAGGCACACAAAACAAAGGAAAGAACAGTTACCCCATTCTCTTAATATTTTTGAAGGGGGAAATTTGTGGGTGGTTGTGTACTTAACGTATTCCACTTTGACTTAACTATGCGTATATTTCTTGCTCCCTCGACGAGATGACTCCACTCAACAACCCCCCTCTCTCTTACTCTTACCTTCTCTCTCTCCTCTCTTTTTAACCCCTTGTTTCCTTTGTTTTCCCCTTTCTTTTCCTTTCTTTCCTCTCCTTCCTTTTTTTCTTGTTCCCAATGGCAGTGCAATTTTACCGAAAATATCCTGACAGGTGGGGGGGGGGGGGTGTCAGCCCCACACCCCTTCTTTAGCGACGCCCCTGCTAGGAGTCCAGATTCCTGATATCAAACAGGCATTAGATAAAAATGGGGCTGGAGGTAGAAAGACAAGTAATGGTAACGTGATGATGCTTCAGAACTGGGCAGAGATATTCAAACCATCCAAGCAACTTCCAATTCTTAGAGCTGCTTTCAAAAAGGCTGGCTTACTAGAGGTGGAAGAGACATGTTCACAAGCAGCTGCAGTGACTTTTGCTGATGTTGTTGCTGTTGCAATTTAACTATGTCATGATTACATTTAATCAACACAGCTTTCTTTCCTACCTATACATATTCTAAATACAGAATGAGCTCAGTGGCCAATGTTGATTTTGATGACATCTTGAAGGAGATAGCCAAGGCCCTACACAGAGATTCAGACATCGATGATCTCGGAAAAGCCTTGGGATTTGGGCCCGGAGAAATCGGTCGCAAGATTGCACAAAACGAAAGGCAAGGAGGGAATTACATGGGAACATTGGATTTGCTCAGGATGTGGCAAAAGGGACAAACACCTACGACTGAAAAGGCGTCATTGAGGTCGGCACTATTAGAAGCTCGATTGGATAACCTGGCAGACCAATATCTAAGCACTCCCGTACCTGGTAAGAGATTCTTTGTATACGATGGTTTAATGATGCGTTTCATACAGAAACAAAAAGAGAATCCGAATTACAATAACAATAACATTTTTTTGACTACTCAAAAGTTTCAAAGCAGATCACGGACATGATAATGGGGCGGCATAACGTTGAATTTTTAGCCCAATTGTGCATCTTGTGATAAAAGCACCAACTTTGGCACATAGGTAGTCCAACATTTTCGAAGCAAAACTTGATGTTGAGACACCTCAAATTTGGCCCTTCGGGCTTGCTGTGCGTATTTTAAAAAATGACTCCTTCGGGGTACCTTTCCGTGTATTAAACATGCTTTGTTTTCAAAATCGTTATTGTCAGTTTCCAACCAAGAACGTTCCTCCATACTTACGGTAGCCATTCTCTCTAATAGGAAGAAAAAGGAAACGTGGAAGTCAATGGTAATTTGGAATGTACTGTCTCTGAACCTAGATTCTAATTCATACATCTTGAAAAATAAATGGCATATTGCTCTGTTAATCTATACCTCTGTGCCAAATAGGGTGCTTTAATCACAAAATACACAATTTAATTGCTTTGCCACCCCGCTTTTAGCGATGTCAAAAGACGAGCAATACATGTGTTGGTACATTTTTTTATTCAAAGCAGTAAGAAAATTAATTTGCCTAAAAACAAGAAATATATGCACGTCAGGATAAGTTGAATGAATCATATTTACACGGAATAATAATTTTTCGTTTTGTACTGAATGAAAAGTAAACAAGTGTAGTGTTGTCAGGGCTGGTAGTAGTTTTAATGTTTTGTTGTTGATTGTTTTAAAAAACAATCAACAACACAAAAATATCAAATTTTCCTTAGGATTCACAATATTAAACGCTGTTAGAAGATTCAGGTCAAAGTTCCAATGAATCTTTTTTGTGAAGCAGAGATACAAGAGAATTATAACATCAAGTACATGATAATAATATATTCAAACCTTTAATTTCCACAATAATTTTCCTTATGAAGTACTCATTACAAGACATTTCCTTTTACCGGTAATTTTTTGTTTACATCAGCAGAATCTGCACAATACACTGTACAACAAACAGAGGACTGTTCCAAAAATAAAGGTGAGATATCTTTCTTGTTTCATATGAATATTAAAAGAGGGAAAACATTTTCTCTTTGTATTTAAGTGTCTTTTTTAAAGCTCAAACTCAAGGCAGTCCAGAGAGGAGCACTCCGCTTGATTGCACATGCAATTATTACAAAAGAAACTGGCTTAAAACAAATCAACCTCTCTATCATCGAGTTAACATACAAAATTCTGTGAGGTAATATTGATAATATTAACAAAATTATCTTTGAACCAATCTAGCTTTATTTACTAAAGATAGTAAATGCGCAACTTATGAACGAGGCACTTCCGGAATTATTGTCAATGTTTTCCAGAACAATATTCATCTTCAAATACATGTTAGGGGTAAATCTTTGCAGAAGTGTGTGTTTTATGACATCCTCTTTCACATCATTATAGAGATTGAAGTGAAATTTTGCCATCAAGTTCACGTGTTCAAATTTTTGGAATTTTTGGCTCCCAACGCTTTAAATCTCTCATTATTGTTAAAAATCATCAATTGATAACACATATTAAATATAATGTAATGAACAATGTTCATATTTTGTGAACAGTTTCTGTCTTTGACACCTGTATTTGCTTAAATAAATGTACTTTTAACAGTATAATTGCCTTTACAGCGTTGTTGAGCAGGATACCTTTCATGATTTGACGTGTTTGAAATGTTTGTTTGGGGATTTAACAGATTTTCCCCATTTAATGTGTTTTCTCTGAATTCGCTAATTGAAACTAAAATTTAGGAATATATTAAATTGTGAGATGTACCCTTTTCAAACTCACTTGTTTAAGTAAGGTTTTTAAGTAACTTCCTACTGTCCTACTTTCACACTGCACGGTGAAACAAAAACAATGACACACCATTATTGATAATTTATCTCATAAGGGTCTCTTTACAAAGAGAGTATTGCCATAATGTGAGCTTTCAGAAACAATTTGCTGTTCAATTCTCACTAGAAACTGTTATTTCTGGTTTTCAGTTAATATCTGGTCAAAATGTCCATACACATGGCGTCTTGACAACCATTCTCTCACTCACACTGTCTTTGCATTTCTTTTCCTACCCCTCTGAAATTGCGCTTTTAAAAGCAAAGTCCCACAATCATTAACTTTTACACATATAAATCTGAGCCAGTGGCATATCCAACTGGAATTGATAAACCAAGAGAGAATCCCATCCGACTGAAAAACAGCCCTGCATATACCCACTGCAAATTGATTTCATTAATTTTAAGGGGAGGGGGTTCAAATGCGCGGATCTGCATCTGTATGCCGTGTTTATCCTTTGCCCAGTACTTAATATCAGCAGAACCTGTTTAAACAGAAACAGCAGTACGTTATCAACTTCCTCGGCAGTGATTTCAAAGTTCAAACCAAGTATCTAATTTTCTTATTTACATCATTATTTTGCAATAATGCTCTTCTCTTTTTCCTCAGGTGACGATGAGGCGATGCCAAGTGAAATAATGAAGTTAAGAGAACAACTGAAAAGAAGATATCGCAAGAAATTTGGTGAGATCAAAACATCGCCTGTGGACTCTCAGTCACGGACATGGCTTCAGCACATCTACGTCAATCTCGTCTTGATGTTGGGATTGGAAGGGGATAAGGAGGAGCCAATAGATTATGATGGATTGTTTAAATTCATAAAAACTGATACACCGAAAGGTTTTGTAACACGATTAGCTTTCATTGGAGAAGCTGGTGTAGGGAAGTCAACGCTGTTTGCTAAGATAGCTCTTGATTGGGCTGAGGGTAAAATTCTTCAAGAAATCAATCTGCTTTTTCTTGAATCATTTCGAGAGATTAAAGAGAGCGGATTCTTCGGTGATACTGTCATGGCGCATTTCCCAGATGACTCAAAAATAAAAGGGGAACGGGTGGATGCATATGTGAGGAAAAATCCGAGAAAAGTCCTAATCTTATTGGATGGACTAGATGAGGCACATATTGACATCAAAAAGCCAGACTGCAATGACGCTATCGTATCGATCGTAAGAGGAGAACGATTCATTGATACCCCAGTGGTCATCACAACCCGTCCTTTTGGAGCTGATCAGATCAAGAGCATCATGACGATTAATGAGCACTACACGTTTGGTAAGGTTAAGGGCTTCACAAAGAAAAACATGTCAACATACATCAAAAACTTTTTCAAAGATGATTCTCAGTCTGCTTCGACCCTCATTAACTTCATTAATACAAACCACGTGGTTTCTGAGTACATGGCAACCTTCCCGATATTCTGCTGTATGCTATGTTGCCTGTGGAAAACACCATCTGGGCGGGAAAATATTCAGACAATGGAAACATTCTCACAACTCTTGAAGTTTCTCGTCTTTTCACTTCAAGAGCAATACTCTTCCAAACGAAATGAATTAGAAGAGGGCTATGGAAGCCGCATGAACAAAGCTCATGAAAGTATGAAAGAGCTTGGTTGTATTGCATTTCAAGGTCTGTTGGTTAAACAGCTCATCTTCGATGAAAAGGCGCTCGACTCATGCATAGAGGCTGCAAGGACTGCATGCGAGGTCGGGATTCTTAGCATGGAAAAAAAGCAATTTATCCAGGAATTCTCTTTCCCTCATAAGTTACTGCAGGAGTACATAGCAAGTTTCTACCTTGCATCGCTGTTCCACGAAGATTGTCGAGAATTCAACAGAATCCTGGCAGACACTCTTTTAGTAGACTACAAGGAATTCAGATATGTCTTTTACTTCACTGCAGCTCATGGAGGCGAAGTAGGAAAGTCGGTTCTGGAAGCCCTATGCAATAAAGTTGATGACATGAAATTCATCATTCAGGTTGCTTTTGAATGTCATGATTCGGAAGCCATTGATCCCGTCAGGAATCTTTTGAAGACGAAGACATATCTTAGTTTTATAGATCATCCAATTCCTGCACTTATCTTCACACTGGAGTCAATAAAGCAAGAAATAGTAAGTTCCGTGAATAGAATTATAGACAGATCTCATTTGTATTTATCTAGTTGTGAAATGTTATCATGTTGAGGGAATACTAGCTGTCATCTGTTGAGCCTCCAGTGATTATATATGCAAATTGTGCTTTAAAAAAATACAAATACAAGAGACCTACACAATATATTGTCTGTTTTTCTGTTCTACTGACCGATAATCTTTTAGAACCTGCCATGTTCTCCTGTTGTTATTGGGTATTATAGCAGGCTGCAAGGTGTAATTATAGTCTCATACAAGAGCAAGAGTCATATCATTCGTTTACCTCTTCCTCTTGTAAGTGTAAAACTTGAGTTTCTTTTAAAAAAAGAAAGAAAAACAATATTACATGGCAATTTTAGAGCAATGAAACACACACACAGACACGCACCCATACTCACATCCTTCACAGGAAATAGGTCACCCAACCAAACAAACTAAATATCTGATGTAGGTCATGTTATATTTTGAATATGCCTTTATTATTGTTATTGGTCGTTCATGTACTTCTTACATTCACATTATGATTATATATAACTCAAATTTGATTCAATTTTTGATTCATTCTTTTCTTGGTCTTGGTATATTCATATCCTTGCCATCTGTCTGAGTGAAAATAATATATACCATGGTCTTATTTTTTTTTAAACTCTATACTGCAAATAGACACACGCAAAACTACTTTAAAGTTTAAACAAAAATTATATCGGAAATAAAATTTACAGATCGAATGCTAAAATTCTATTTGTTCTATTTGTTGTACAGGTAAGAAGAAGTTCTCCGATTCGTGAAACATTGGGTATTAGCAAGTCCTTCGAAGCTAACGCATCATCGTCACATGTACATGTAGCAGCAGCAGTAGGACTCTTCACATTGCCGAACTTACGAAGCTTGACCTTTCAAAACGTGCGCCTGGATGATGAATTCTACACAGGAATGTCTGCTGCAGCTTCACAGTCCAAGGTATCAGGGGCCTGTTTATTATATTACACTGATAAATCCTAAACCATAATTACAATTATTTCTTAATCGATGCATATTCATATTTGTTGCTTAATAAAATGAAATACAATCATGAACCAAAATCGGTTATTCACATTTATAATTTTGTTTACTGCTTTTCACAAAGGTGGGAAATCTAAGCATTTTGAAAGGCTTGAAAAAGGGTCTTGCTCGCCTCTTTTTCTTCCTTTTCCTTTTTACATATCACAAATATGTATCTTCCTTTGTCATTTTTCTCTTAATTTGTCACAATTTGGCGGTGCTTTGGACATCATGATGTGACTAGGCTAAATCCGCCCTTTCCTTCCATAAGAAGTCTATGCAGCTATTCTATTTCATAGGCATTTCACAGTAAATCAACTCCATGGGTAAATTACATATAAGTGTATTATTTTGAACATTTTAGAAAATTTTACGTGTTGTACTTTGGACCATTTTAAACCACAGATATATCTTCAGGGAAGGAGCCCTCTCGAACTATGTTATAACAATGGATTACACTTCTTTTCTTTTTAAACTCAAATTATATTGCGAGAAAGTGTATCCAGAGAGAGAGAAGATCATTTTTCAATTGTGAAACTTTGCATTCTAGACGACCTCAGAATCTGAATAGTATGTCACATTGCTTTGTAAAACTTTAACTCGTTATTTATCATATAAATAATGATCATTTAAAAAAAAAATTATTATTCATCGGTAGGGAGACCACTTACAAAGACTTCCAGTGGATATATCCTGTAGTGTACCCAGAATTATCGCATCTTTTTGCAGTACTATTTCACCCGTCTTCCCTCAGTTTTGAAAGAAAAATCATGATATTGTATATAAACTTATTGTAAAGGCGGCTCGGTGGGGTATGAGAGGAGTTCCCCTTTCCTTATAAGGAAATTCTTCAAGACTGCCCTAAGAAGTTGCGAAGTTTGCTATATAATGATGGTTTTCATCAGGAAACTTGACTCACCTCTGATTAATTTGTGTTACAAAATTCCTCAGGACGAAAGGAAGTTCCAAGGTTCGCTAGATAAAAAAAGGTTTTAATCATGAAACTCGACTCACCTCTGATTCAGTTTTGCTTCACAATTCTTTAAATGGCACTAAAGAGGCAGAGGCAGAGCAACGAGCCCAGATCAGACTGGAGCATGATTTCTCGTAGGGGAGCAAGGGGACACACCGTCCTATGCACCTAAGTCAAGTCAAGTCAAGAAGTCGTGAAGTTTGTTAGATAAGGAAGGGTTTCTTCGTAAAAATCGTGATTCATTTTCGTATCAGAATTCTTCAAGATGAAATGAAGTACCGATGTCCATGAGATAAACGAGGGTTTAATCATGGAACTCGACTCAACTTTAATATGTTTTTGCTTTGAAATTCTTCAAGACAGCCCACAAAACAAAACGCAACAATAATAAATAATCACCAAGTTATCATTGTTACAATTTGTTTTTTCTGCATTTCCGCTGCGGCGTGCCGAGCCAGCAAGTCAGACGTTGGAGCATTGCATTACGTACACATCCTGCTAGGTCGCTAGTTTTCATCAGGTCGCGCCACATGTTTTGAATTCCTGAGCGAAGGGGACCTGTACAGGGGGCAGCAGCGCCAGGCCCCCTCTCTCTGTCTCTTTCTCTCTCAGTCATTGTCAATATCCCCCATATTGCTTTATTTCCCTCATTTCTCTAATTGAAAGAAAATGCTAAGTAGGAACTATTGATTATCATACATCAGTTTGCTCTATTTTTCATATGGCATATGACAATAGAACAATTATGTAATGATTATCAATAAGTTCTCATCTTTTAGTTATATTTCATCGTATTGCACATTATTGTCTTATGTTATCGTAGATTTAATTAATATCTGTTTATATTATTGAGTTTTTATACTTGAATGGAAGAACACACTCTTTTATCTTTCTAATTTGATAAAGGTGAAAGAAAAATTCAAAAAGGATGCAATAAGTATTAAGACTTTAATTGAAGAAAAATAATGAAATTTTATGATCTATTTTACTCTCCTTTCCCTGTACACAATATTTGGTTTACTCATTCTGTGTGTTTCTTTCAATTTAGCTTAAAAAGCCCAGTATAGTCAAAGTATATATATATATTGATGACATAACATCATGATGTTAAAGTACTGAACATAAGTAATACTTCAATTAAACACATTGATATTACTATTCACTTTATTCAACCTGTCCTGTCACATCGCCAGACTGAGAAGCTAACGCACTACCTCTCAGATCTATAGGCTTGTTTAAAAGCACTTATCCTATAAATAGTATTTTGCACGTTTTTTGAAATGATTTATTGTCATGAGTCAGAAGCATGTTCATATCAATATGATAGTGTGAACTTGCTGACAACAAGAAAAATGAACTATGTGAATAATTATTCATATAAATGTGTGGTTTAGAAAATAATTTATAGTTTGTCATTAGTTTCGAGGAGATATTTCATGTACGCTGTAGATAGAAAAAATAACATCTTTATTCTGATTGAACAGAAACACTCTTTTTTTTTTTTAACTTTTCATAATCACATTCGATTTTCTTCATCTCGTGTTTTTTTTTCTTACCACACGGTGACACCCATTTCACTTTTGGCCTTTTTCTCTCTATCTCTGTCCCTCTTCTCTTTTTTTTTTCTCTCTCTCTCTCTCTCTCTTTCTCTTTCTCTTGCATTAAAAGACTAAGTGGAGGGTATAATGATGTAACATTAATGACAATGAAAAATATTTAAATTAGACATTTATACTTGATATAACTATTCACTCTATTCAACCTGTCGTGTCACATCACCAGATCGAGAAGCTACATCATTATTACTCGCAGGAAGATCTGGGTTCTGCTGCGTCCTCTCATTACGCGAGAGGTCTCTGCTCAATGCCTCATCTTCGATCACTGAATCTGATCAGTATAGAGCTGAGTGATGAGTTCTACTCAACGATGGCCTCTGAGGCATCAACATCAAAGATATACCCAAACACGATTTGTATTGGAAACATTTTTTTTCCCCCAATAGTTTTGCAATCTTCAAACTGAACATAATTATGTCGATAAATGCTTTTCACATTAAAACAAAAAGAAGAAATAATTAATTGTCATTAGTCACAATTATCCTCATATCAATATAAAACTTGTACAATACTGATAATAAGAAGCATGAGTGAATAGACTAGATTTTAATGTCATAATGATATAAATTCATGTAAATGTGTGTTTTTAAAGCATGTATCCTATAAATAGAATTTTGCATTTTGTTTTTAGAAATTATTTATAGTTTGTCAATAGTCTCAAAGAGATATTACATGTACACTGTAAATAGAAAGAAATAGCATCTTTATCATTCTGCTTGATCAGATACTCCATTTCTTTTCTAACTATTCATAATTAATCACATTTGTTTGTCTTTCTTCATCTCATCTTCATTGCTCTTACAACCCCCCATTTTCCTTGGGCTTTTTAACCCCTCTCTCTCTCTCTCTCTCCATCTCTCTCTCCCTTCTTTTCTTTTTCCCTTCTTTTCTTTTCCCCTTACTTTAAAAGTCTATTTAGAGGTTAATGATGTTACATTAATGACAATGACAAATATTTAAATAAGACATGTCGTCTTTTCTTGATAATACTATTCACTCTATTCAACCTGTCCTGTCACATCACCAGATTGAGGAGCTAAAGCACCGGGAAGCAGATCTGGGTTCTGCTGCATCCTCTCATTACGCGAGAGGTCTCTGCTTCATGCCTCATCTTCGATCACTGTGTCTGTACAGTGTAGAGCTGAGTGATGAGTTCTACTCAACGATGGCCTCTGAGGCATCAAAATCAAAGGTATACTCAAACACGATTAGTATTGGAATCATTTTTTTTCCCCGATAGTTTTGCAAACTTCAAACTGAACACATGTGGATAAATGTTTTTCACATTTAAAAAAAGAAATAGAAATCATTTTATTGTCAGTAGTCACTATTATGCTAATAACGATATAATTGACTTTCAATACTGATAATAAGAAGCATGAGTCATGTGAATATACTGGATTTTAATGTGATAATGATATCAATTCGTATAAATGCATATGTTTAAAGCAGGTTTCCTACAAATACTACTTCGCATTATATATTTTTAGAAATTATTTAAATTTTGTCGATAGTCGCCAGAAATTGATTTTAAATGTGCATATAAATAGACGGATATAAACGCATAATTTTAAGCGCATATGATATCCTGTAGATAGGCCTAGTATTCCGCTTTTTTGTGTGTGGATTATTCATTGTCCCAATAAGATATTACATGCACAGTAGATACACAGATATAACATTTTATTTTGCTTGACAAGACAAGGTCTCCTTTTCAACTATTTGAGACATTTATTTGTCTTTTTTTGCTCGTACCACAGCAATGTCCCTTGGTTGTTTTTTCTCTCTCTCTCTATCCCTCTCTGTCTCTCTTTCTCTCTCCCTGCTATTGAAAACGATTTCCTTCATAAGTTTATATATTGCATTCTCCAAACTAAACATAATATTAATTCATCCTTTTTTTCAAAATAATGTTTGGTTAATAGTCAAAACCACGCTCATTATAAAACAATAGTCTGACCATGCTTTTAATCATGTAAGTGAATCATTTGAATAGAATTGACTTCAGTGTCATGATTATATAAATTCAATCGATTCTCACATTCAGTCATTTGAGTCATTCTAGATTTTTTCTTTAGAACGACACATTATTTTCTTGTGATGATATTCATAGTTTGTAAATAGTCTCAAGGAGATATTACATGTACACTGTAGATGGAAAGAAATAACAATCTTTATTCTGCTTGAACAAACACTCTCTTTTTTTCTTCCAACTATTCTTAATTAATCACATTGGACTTTCTTCATCTCGTGTTTCTTTTCTCTTACCACACCCATTTCACTTTTGGACCTTTTCTCTCTATCTCTGACTCTGTCTGTTTGTCTATCCCTCTCTCTCTCTCTCCCTCTCTCATTTTCTCTTTCCCTTGCTTCAAAAGTCTAAGTAGAAGTTAATGATGTTACATTAAAGGTACTATTTCCCATTTGCAAGCCAAAAAAATGAAAAAGTTAAATTCCAACTGCATTTGAAAAATAATACTAATTTAGAACTTCCCTAAAAAAGGTGGGTGAAAATGTCTTCAAGTGGGAAAATAATGACTTTTAGTTGTCAAATCGACTTTAGGGCTATAGAGCCCAAAAGTAATAGTCTTGATTTTCAGACGATTGTACCGAATGGTCATACGTTTTATGCTGCGCAAAGATTCAATCAGTTTAATCTTGGCCATCACAAGAAGTGGGTTATTGATGTAGACGAATGCTCATGTACCCTTTACAAAACTCTTTTCATGTATGTTATTACCAAGGAAGAAAAAAAGCCAGCCAGTCACTCATTAGTGTCTGACATTGAAGTCTAGCAAGTAAACAGGTTTCCTTGCATAATTTTAATATGAGGACACTGCTAACGTTTAAATTTCACAGATAGGACATACATGACATATTCATAATTCCTGCAAAGTTTTACAGAATTTGAGGTTGGCTGCAAAAGGGACATAGTACCTTTAATGACATTAAAAAATATTTAAATTAGACATGTCGTCGATACGTGATAATACAATTCACTCTATTCAACCTGTCCTGTTACATCACTAGATTGAGAAGCTAACGCACAGTAAAGCAGATCTGGGTTCTGTTGCATCCTCTCATTACGCAAGAGGTCTCTGCTCCATGCCTCATCTTCGATCACTGAGACTGGACATTGTGGAGCTGAGTGATGAGTTCTACTCAACGATGGCCTCTGAGGCATCAAAATCAAAGGTATACCCAAACACGATTTTTATTGGAACAATATTTATCCCCCAATAGTTTTGCAATCTTCAAACTGAATATATTTGGATAAATGTTTTTTTTACTTTTAAAAAAGAAATAGACATTTAAAAAAGAAATAGACATCAATTTAGTATCATTAGTCACTATTTTGCTCATATCAACATAATACTCTTACAAAACTGATAATAAGAAGCATGAGTCATGTGAATAGACTGGATTTTAAAGTGATAATGATATCAATTCACATACATGCCTCTTTTTAAAGCACATATCATATTAACTTTTCAGAAATTATCTATAGTTGTCAAAAGTCTCAAGGAGATATTATATGTATGCTGTAAATAGAAAGAAATTTCATCTTTATTCTTCTTGAACAGACACTGTCTCTTTTTTCCAACTATTCATAATTAATCACATTTTTTTGTCTTTTTTCATCTCGTCGTTCATTGCTCTTACCACCCACATTTCTCTTGGGCTATTTAGCTCCTCTCTGTCTCTGTATCTTTCTCTCTCTCTTTCAATCTCTCTCTCTCTTTCTCTCTCTCTCTCTCTTCTCTTTCCCTTGCTTTAAAAGTCTAAGTAGAGGTTCATGATGTTACATTAATAACAATGACAAATAATTAAATTAGACATGTAGTCTATACTTGATATTACTATTAACTTTATTCAACCTGTCCTGTCACATCGCCAGACTGAGAAGCAAACGCACTACCTCTCAGATCTATAGGCGTGTTTAAAAGCACTTATCCTATAAATAGTATTTTGCACGTTTTTTGAAATGATTTATTGTCATGAGTCAGAAGCATGTTCATATCAATATGATAGTGTGAACATGCTGACAACAAGAAAAATGAACTATGTGAATAATTATTCATATAAATGTGTGGTTTAGAAAATAATTTATAGTTTGTCATTAGTTTCGAGGAGATATTTTATGTACGCTGTAGATAGAAAAAATAACATCTTTATTCTGATTGAACAGAAACACTCTTTTTTTTTTTTAACTTTTCATAATCACATTCGATTTTCTTCATCTCGTGTTTTTTTTTCTTACCACACGGTGACACCCATTTCACTTTTGGCCTTTTTCTCTCTATCTCTGTCCCTCTTCTGTTTTTTTTGCTCTCTCTCTCTCTCTCTTTCTCTTTCTCTTGCATTAAAAGACTAAGTGGAGGGTATAATGATGTAACATTAATGACAATGAAAAATATTTAAATTAGACATTTATACTTGATATAACTATTCACTCTATTCAACCTGTCTTGTCACATCACCAGATCGAGAAGCTACATCATTATTACTCGCAGGAAGATCTGGGTTCTGCTGCGTCCTCTCATTACGCGAGAGGTCTCTGCTCAATGCCTCATCTTCGATCACTGAATCTGATCAGTATAGAGCTGAGTGATGAGTTCTACTTAACGATGGCCTCTGAGGCATCAAAATCAAAGGTATACCCAAACACGATTTGTATTGGAAACATTTTTCCCCCCCAATACTTTTGCAATCTTCAAACTGAACATAATTATGTCGATAAATGCTTTTCACATTAAAACAAAAAGAAGAAATAATTAATTGTCATTAGTCACAATTATCCTCATATCAATATAAAACTTGTACAATACTGATAATAAGAAGCATGAGTGAATAGACTAGTTTTAATGTCATAATGATATGAATTCATATAAATGTGTGTTTTTAAAGCATGTATCCTATAAATAGAATTTTGCATTTTGTTTTTAGAAATTATTTATAGTTTGTCAATAGTCTCAAAGAGATATTACATGTACACTGTAAATAGAAAGAAATAGCATCTTTATCATTCTGCTTGATCAGATACTCCATTTCTTTTCTAACTATTCATAATTAATCACATTTGTTTGTCTTTCTTCATCTCATCTTCATTGCTCTTACAACCCCCCATTTTCCTTCAGTGGGCTTTTCAACCCCTCTCTCTCTCCATCTCTCTCTCCCTTCTTTTCTTTTTCCCTTCTTTTCTTGTCCCCTTACTTTAAAAGTCTATTTAGAGGTTAATGATGTTACATTAATGACAATGACAAATATTTAAATAAGACATGTCGTCTTTTCTTGATAATACTATTCACTCTATTCAACCTGTCCTGTCACATCATCAGATTGAGAAGGTAACGCACCGGGAAGCAGATCTGGGTTCTGCTGCATCCTCTCATTACGCGAGAGGTCTCTGCTTCATGCCTCATCTTCGATCACTGTGTCTGTACAGTGTAGAGCTGAGTGATGAGTTCTACTTAACGATGGCCTCTGAGGCATCAAAATCAAAGGTATACTCAAACACGATTTGTATTGGAATCATTTTTTCCCCCAATAGTTTTGCAAACTTCAAACTGAACACATGTGGATAAATGTTTTTCACATTTAAAAAAGAAATAGAAATCATTTTATTGTCAATAGTCACTATTATGCTAATAACGATATAATTGACTTTCAATACTATTTAAGACATTTATTTGTCTTTTTTTGTTCGTACCACAGCAATGTCCCTTGTTTTTTTCTCTCTCTCTATCTCTCTCTCTCTCTATCTCTCTATCTCTTTCTCTCTCCCTGCTATTGGAAACGATTTCCTTCATAAGTTTCTATATTGCATTCTCCAAACTAAACATAATATTAATTCATCCTTTTTTTCAAAATAATGTTTGGTTAATAGTCGAAACCACGCTCATTTTAAAACAGTTATCTGACCATGCTTTTAATCATGAAGGTGAATCATTTGAATAGAATTGACTTCAGTGTCATGATTATATAAATTCAATCGATTCTCACATTCAGTCATTTGAGTCATTCTAAAAAAAATTCTTTAGAACTACACATTATTTTTCTTGTGATGATAGCTATATTTTTTAATTCACTTTAGATAACAATGGTCAAAGTGAAATCGGGTATAATGCAAAAACAAACACATCTTTTTTAAAATATATATATGGGAATAAAGAAATGTGTATCATTCCGACAGGGGTAGCGTGACCGGGGTCAGGTTATGATACATCATCCCACAATTTGCAAAATTGAGACATGTGTCCTTCCTCCGACAGGAAGTGCCTTCTTCGAAGTGAACAAATGCCCCTCCCACGATAGGAAAATTTGCCCTCTTTGCTATCTACGTGTCCCTGGTTCATAGCCGTTTGTAAAAAAAAAATTATAAAAAACATATCCAAAATAGAAACAACAACAAAACTACGGACAAAACTAAACAAAAATAGTAAGAGGACATTTTTCTTTTTTAATTTTTTTTTTGGACAAACAAAAAAACAAAACAATTACAACTCATAAGGGTTTTTTTTTCTTCAAAAAACATACACGTAAAAACAAAACTGAAGGAGGGGGGGGGTTTAAGCCCCCCCCCCCCCCCCTGCGTACGCCCCTGGCTGTCAATACAAGAGCGAAGGCCAGGATGAGCAGATTGGTAGGGTACGATGAGAGAGTTGAGATACACTGGAGCTTTGTTTTGGATGCACTTGTAGACAACCGTCAGGATCTTGAACACAATGCGTTGCTTGATTGGAAGCCAATGTAGTTCTTTTATCAACGGGGCGACATGATCGCGCTTACGGGCCAAGTTATCAGCTTTGCTGCAAGATTCTGAACCTTCTGGAGACGCGGTATTTGTAGTGATATGATCCCATAAGATATCATTTTGATGTAATATCTTCCCACCGATACAATAGCTTAAGTACCTCTTTTGAAATACATCATGCCATGCATATTGAAATGCTTTCTAGTTTATTATAATACCGGTACATTGTTTTATTTAAAGTGCAGCAGAAATTGAGACAACATAATCAGACTCAGTGAATGATAAAGTTACTGAGATGCAGATTCATCTGATATTAGCTATGATTTAAAATGGTGTTTATGTTAGTAAAGACAATAATTGGATCGCATCGGGGATTTCACTTTGGTGTAAACTGATTTTGGATAAATTGTCTTGGCACAGATCCAGACGCTGAGTGTTAAGGATGTTTCCATGATGACTCCACGGAGACTACTCTCCATTCTCTCGCTACCACGCCTCCAGTCACTCACCTTGAGGGATATCAGACAAGTTGACATAGACGATGGAGAGACACTGGTTTGTATCTTTACTGTTCCAATATTGAATTCAAAATCCTCTTTTTGCTCCAAGCTCAAAAGGAAGGCGTTCAGAAAAAACCTGAAGAGACTAAATATGAATGATGAAAGAATTGCCAAAAGGATAGTGTATTTTTGTTTTGAAATCAAGTTAAAACGACATACTATGGGTTGTTTAGAAAATCGATGGATGGTGTTATTTATCAAATATATATACGTGCACTGTTATAGTTTTTCTCATCTTGGGATGAAGTTTAACATTGCACATATTTTTAAAGCTTGTTAAATATCAATTGATAAATGATTGCCATTTGTTATTTACCATGGAGAATCCTGTTGCTTATTTTCTTCATTATCAAATTCAGTAAAGTGAAGTCATTTGATTGATTTTTTTCGTTAGTCTAGGTGACCTTATAAACACTGAACTAATATCACAATAAAAAAGATGATAATAAATACTAAAATCCCGTCATCTTCCACCGAAATGGAAGGATTAACCCTCGAATAATAATGTTGGTGGAAACAGACAAAATAAAGAAAAAATTTAACGAAGGTTTCAGAAAAAGCGGAAAAAGAATAAAAACATTAAGAAATTTTGGATGTCGATAATGGTAATGATATACAAAAACTCATATTGTCAATGCGATCATGATGTGTTATGCCATACAGAGAGAAATCCTCTTTTTATATTTTGTATCCAAAATACTGAAAAAAAGTCTCATGATAAACAAACCTCTATTTAAATGGAGGGCAATACACTTCAATATCATTTCTTACATCAGCATTAGTTTCCATTCATATCATACCCAATAAACAAAATCACGTGAAAATCACGTCAATATCAAGGTATCGACTTGAAGAGAGTTACGTTCTTCAAACACCGGACATTTACGTAAATGTGTTAATACGTTTTTTGCATTAGGTAACTTAAAACACACGAACACTAAATCACGCAATTGTCACTGCAATATCACCATTATAATAACGTGATTATCCCTACCTTGGAGACCATGGTTTGTAAACCTAATACTCCCGTGTTTGTTTGGTTATGAAATTACATCTTCATACACGAAATTATCGCGTCACAGAAACACGTGAAGCGTTAGTGATAGTTTTAGTCAGAATATCTGCGTGAAATTCACGTGAATATTACGAGGCTGACTTGAGATGAATTATGTTCTTCATTCACGTAAAATTTACGTCGAAGAGGAAGTATGTTACTGTATCCCGCGTTCAACCCAATAATTACGCAAATGTTACACAATAAATGAACCAAAATAATGACGTTCTCATCCCGTTTCTGAACATCGTGTCGTGGATCTTCCATAATTACGTCCAGGCGCGCCGGAAGCAGTTTGGGATTAGAGGGGGTTGGGTGGGGGGGGGGGGGTGCAAACATCCCAGAAGAGAAAGCTAGTTGCAACTGGTCCAGTTGATGAACCATTTAATACCAACTGGTAACCCTGGAAATTGAAATGGGCTAAATGATCCAGTTGATCCAGGCCAGTTATAATTCAACTGGTCTAGCTGAGCCATTAGAACCATTTGCTAAAACTTCCAACCAGTTGAACAGCAACAATACTTCAATGCTGGTACGTCTGTATGTCCAATGTAAGGGCATTGGTAATAAATAGACTTACATAATTGAATTAATCGAAATAAATTCGTATACTTGTACTTTATTGAAATTATTTTAGTTCACAGTTAATGTTTCCCTTATTCATGTTTAACTATTTATACGAAGTAGCGAAATGTCCTAATAACTGGTAATTTATATTTGTAGTATTTTCGAAATGAATTGCATATAACTAAATCATTAGTAATTAAGAAATATGCTGTAAATTCAGATAGATTGTTTAAAAAACATAGATCTGCACGCACCCCATATTCAATATGCAAATGAATTGGTGTCAGCTGGGTCAACTCGAAATATGCCAACGCTCAGTCATCAACTGGTGCAACTGGAAATATGCACACTCCAGTTATCAACTGGTGCAATGAAAATATGCCAACAGTCAGTTATCAACTGGTGAACATAGAAATATGCCAACAGTCACGGGATTATCACAACGGAACTTAAATGGTAACTGTGAAACCATCAAGACACCCAAGAATAACCCATTTTCACACATGGAAAACACGGAATACCCAGCTTATATTAATAATCCGTTTGAGTCACGAGATCATCACCGCGGAACTTATTGGCAACTTTGACTTCCATTTAAATAGGTGTTTTAATACACCTAATAATGACTAATTTTTCACACCTAAATATCACGGATTCACAGCTTAGATTAGTAATCAGTTTTAACTACGTGATCATCACCAAGAAAGTTATGGTAACTTTGAAACCATTTAAATAGATGTTTTAAGACACCTAATAATGACTAATTTTTCACACCTAAAAGTCACGTATGACAAGCTTAGATCAATAATCCGTTTGAGTCACGAGATCATCACCGCGGAACTTATGGCAACTTTGACTACCATTTAAAAAGGTGTTTTAAAACACTTAATAATTACTAATTTTCACACCTACATATCACGTTTTCACAGCTTAGATTAGTAATCAGCTTGAGCCACGTGATCATAACCAAGAAATTAATGGTAACTTTGAAACCTTTTAAAGAGGTGTGTAAGACACTTCAGAATGACTAGTTGAATATAACCAGAGATTCACGGACAGAACAATAAGACGATTAGCCGGTGTAAGTAACGTAATTATTACCATCAACCTTGGATAACCTGTGAAACCAATCAATAAAGGTGCTTACAAGACCAAATAATTACGTATTTATCGCCACCATCGGTTAACTGACAAAAAACTCGTTGCTTGGTCAAGTGGTTATTTGGTCATAAACACTTGATTTACAGAGGTAAGTGGAATCCCGTTACTCCAGTCGCGTGATAAACTGGTGGTTTTTAGGTTAGATGAAAACGTGAACAGGAGTACCTTTTTTGTTTAAATGAAGGCACGTGTCGATAACGTTTAAATCTAGTTCAAAAGGCACTATACTTTAGAATCACTTAAAATACACTCCCAAAAGAGGTTACTTTTTGGTGTTCTGTTTATTGGGTATATAGTGAGCCTTTTTGCATCGCTCTTTCTTGTAGACTCGTCCAACCTCAGTAGATGAGCTTACTGTGGATGGTAGGCATGTGATCAGCCTGTGGAATCTTGGACTTCATGCATCATGTCCCCAAGTGAAAAAACTCAAACTGAACTACCAGGACAAGGAGAATGTCTCATCAGACATCATCACAATGGCCTGCTCTCCATTCTATCATCTGACTCACCTTCAAATCAAGGGAGATAAGTATCGATTATCTACTACACTGAATGATCCTGTGTCATTTTGTGATGCGGTAAAAACATCATGTCCTCGACTCACCAAGCTGTCTGTTCTCTACATTACACTGAAGAACGAGAAGGCAGCCGAGGTCATCCAACTCATGAAGACTCATCCACACCTGACAAGCATAGAGTGAGTCTCATTTGATTTACCAGGGTAACGATTTCCACTGTATAATCAAACTCTTACTTGTATTTATTGTGGAATTTTTTCGGTTTACCTTTTGCTGTGAGTTTCTTATCTTCATTTGCTACCTCTATCTCTCTCTCTCTCTCTCCCTCTCTCTCGCCCACCCCCCCCCTCCTTCCTCTCTCTATGTCCCTCTCGTTGAATTATTTTTCTTTCTCTTTTGTAAGTTCTCTTTGATTCCTGCCTTCCACTCTGTTTCCAGCATTTCCTCTCTTTCATTCTCCTTATCATTGCCTCTTTTGCTATCAAACAATATAACTCTCTAAAAAGAGATGGTTTTAAGTTTTTTTTACGGAACGATACAAACCTGTATTAAGCATATATCTTATGCCGTATGCTTTCATGGTAATTATAAAAATGGGATACCTGATTATGTTTGATCTCATAAGGGGAAAACTAGCGTTGATTTAACACATTTTGTTCTTGATATCAAAAGGAAATTTAATTGGCAAAATAATCTGCCCAACAAGCAACGTATCGTCATTGTCACTGAATTTGATTTTATGCGGGGTCACCGTCAGGGGTAGCTGTATTAAGGTTTTGAAATAAATCTCAGATGGTTAAGAAAGTGCATACATGAGTGGGTTGTCTAAAAGATTAGATGATGGGGTGCTGTATCAGGGATTTTACAATAGTTTACATAATCTGATGATCTCCTCATTTCAGGACTTATTCATATCACTATGATTTTCTTATTATAAATGTAAATCAATACTTTATCTTATTCATCATGATGTATCCTACATACAAATTTGTTATACCATAGTTATTTGCGGTCATGCAATATAAATTCAGAGCAATATTATGCAATGTTGGATGTGTAATTGTTATCTATTCTCACACCACATAGCATACATATCTAATGGCTTTTTAAGAGAGTATCGTACGTCAGGTTCGTTCAAAAGATCATACCCCCGAAATGTACTGTTTTATTACTATAGTTTGATTGGGTGTCATACCAAGGCGGATCTGGATCCACTGGTTTCTGAGGTGAACAGTGAAGGCAAGGTGACTGTCACCGTGATGCATGGTTCGGTAAGATATAACAATAGATTACATGGACATCTTCAGATTGATTCTTCTCCCTCTTTCTGGCATTCCATTGATTCAAAGTATGCTATTTTTTTAATTATCCATATTTAAATCCGCCCATCAGTAATCAAAAATATACAATGCACATAATTTAACCCTTACTGTACTGGGGGGGGGGGGTGGCCTGGGAGCCCCCCCCCCTCGACATTTTCGGAGATTGCGCCGCAACCGCTTGAAATTTTGAATCGTCGTTTCATGACTTTTTTCCCTCAAGTCTTACGCACATTTTGATACCATTTTCGTCGAAATCGAATATACCTGTTATTACCTGTTATTAGTATGCGCATGTCATCAAAAAGTGCTATAATTGCATATATTCATGTACTGTACAAGCAGAAATGTGAAAACAGGTTTAGATGTATTCCTTCCTAAGTGGGTGATATGAATTGATATCAAATTGCTTTTATATGTTTCTCAAAGTAACCTGATGTATTCCAAAACAAAAGAATACATAAGAAATAAAAACAATAGATATAATAAGAAATTAAAAAAACAATAAAATACATAAGAAAATAAATATTTGAAAATCGCATCAAATTTGCATAAATTATCATTATTAATTACATCAAAATAAATATTTTGTGTTAAAAAAGAAGTTTCATATGAATAATGAGTTTCAACATTCAAAAAGTGGAGTCTGACACGTTTTCTGTAAAATGCATAAAATTAGCATTTTGCATAATTAATTAGGCTATAACGACAATAATTTACATTTTCACAAAAAAACTAATTACACCATCTTGTTCGTTACGTGAATATCTACAAACATGTAAATTTTCGTGTCCATCCGACAATAATGCAATATTGATGAGTTCTATTTTTTTTTTTCTAGAACATCTTAAAGATGAATAATGTTTGTGGCCTGCATTTCTTTATAATCAAACGGCCTGTATATTCTCACTTCTGGAAATAAAAACAACAAATAACATTTCATGAAGCAATGATGTCATTAAGATGGGTGTTAGGTACGGAGTGTAGGACTATGTGTCTCCTCTTCCTCTGCCTGCTACCTTGGTCATGATAGAGACATTATAATATCAAATCTTCCCTGCCTAAAATGTTATGCTTGTAGTACCTTTCGGGAAAAAATACCCCACTAATGTCTTCAAATTATTAGGGCCTATATATGTAATCAATTTAAATCTAATTTTGGTTTTACTAAATGATATCCTAGCATTTGATCATCATCAATTTCTCTCCAATTTGAATATACATGTATGATTGAATCCATTAGGCCTAGAAATAAAAAAAATGTAGTATTGCCCTTTAGGTGCCAGCACCTGGGTTGGTTGGTCAATGTTTTTTTGGATTTTTTTTCTCCCTCTTTGGGCTGATATTTCTCAGTTTTGAATGCTTTAAAATATGTGTTTCAGCGACATAATTCCATTCATATCTTTTCACCTCATGATAAACCTTGGTTGACAATGTTGTCTTTAGACAACAATCTATGCTTCCCAGCTGACGAAGTTGGTTTTTAACTACCTGTAAAACTTGGTAGCAATCTGAAGATTGTTGACAAATTTTATAGATAGTCCCGGGCACAAAGTGGTCTCTTTACTAACCAAAGAAGGGACAGACACTGACACAGGAAAAGACAACCAGACACTTTTGCATGCAAGAGGTTCAAATCATAGGCTATTAAAAATGTTTGTATTTAAACTGGCCCACTTCATATAATATGCTCTTCTATCCTGGGTTCTTCCCAGTGTACGTTTTTGTAGTCTGAAATGAGTCAAACCTGACAAGAAACAATTCAAATACATGAATGTTTGAGCATTGCATTGTATATACACGTACACAAGGCCGGGGTCTACTTGTTTACGCTAGCAGGATTTCAAAACTAGGGCAGAAAACGAGTGAGAATTTGGGAATAATTTTATGATTGTATGCATTTATATCCCATTTAACTCTTTATGCGCCACTTAAAAAACCCCCCTGTGCCACATTCTTTTAGGGTCACACATTTCGAGGGAATCTTTATTGACTCTGCTGAATCAAGAGGCTATAACTCTTCACTGGATGATCATGATGAAAAATATTGTGCAGCAAAGTTGTAGACCGGAAAACGTGCTTTTCGATGAACCGTCATTTGTTATATTTTGAATTATCATTTTTATAATAATCATAATTATATAATGTTTAATTTTTCTTATTTACGGCAGTTTTTTATCCCTCTAGAATTTCTTATTTAGCAATGATAAGACATCTTCAAATCGAATCTATTAGAAAGGTGGACTTCTTACCTTTCTTTACATACCTTGCTCAAGTATTCTAACAATTCAGAAGGTTAGTATTTAGGTTGTTGAAGAAAAGAAGTTCAATAGGGAGAGACTTGAAAGTACCCCGCTCAGCCACCCTTGACAATGGGCTAATCTGCCCATTGAAATCCCTATTACCCCAGGTTATTGTCAATGTCCGGTTTAGCGGGGCATGAAAAGGGACGTCGTGGGGATGTTTTTCTTTGTTGTGCCATGATAAGTCAATAAGAAATAAGAGAATGTTATTGATTTTGCCCACTGGTATGAGCATGTAAAAATGGTATAGGCATAATATATTATATGTGATATACATGACATAATCAGCATCTTATTGAAATGTCTCATTATGAATGTTCACCGCATCTGTTCTCTCACCTTCTTTACCCCTCAATAAAATTGATTTCAAGTACATTTATCACAGCCATAGATATACAAAGAAAGAATGAATCAATCTTAAAATATAAACTATATTGCATTGTTTTCCATTTACTTTATTGTGAGAGAGCTTATTATCAGAAATGATTGACGAGTGGAGTATGCAATGAATAAAATATGGAGAACGGACGTGAGAGACATTATGAGAGAGAAATAGTGATATGAAATGAAAGGACTTTACTGTGAATAAAGATTATAAGAGAAAGAGATAAAGATGACGGCAAGACAGGATACATATTGATACGAAAATAACAATAATAATGAGATAGAGATGACGGAAAGAAAGAGAGTAAACACTGATAGCATAAGAATGAATGAAGATAATAAGAGAAAGATATAGAGATGACGGCAAGACATAGGGTACATATAGATAGGAAAATGATAATAATAATAAGATAGAGATGACGGAAAGAAAGAGAGTAAACACTGATAGCATAATAATGAATAAAGATAATAAGAGAAAGATATGGAGATGACGGCAAGACATAGGGTACATATAGATAGGAAAATGATAATAATAAAAAGATAGAGATGACGGAAAGAAAGAGAGTAAACACTGATAGCACAAGAATGAATAAAGATAATAAGAGAAATATATAGAGATGACGGCAAGTCATAGGATACATATTGATAGGAAAATAATAATAATAATAAGATAGAGATGACGGCAAGAAAGAGAGTAAACACTGATAGCATAAGAATGAATAAAGATAATAAGAGAAAGATATACAGATGACGGCAAGACATAGGGTACATATAGATAGGAAAATGATAATAATAATAAGATAGAGATGACGGCAAGAAAGAGAGTAAACACTGATAGCATAAGAATGAATAAAGATAATAAGAGAAAGATATAGAGATGACGGCAAGACATAGGGTACATAATTATAGATAGGAAAATGATAATAATAATAAGATAGAGATGACGGAAAGAAAGAGAGTAAACACTGATAGCATAAGAATGAATAAAGATAATAAGAGAAAGATATAGAGATGACGGCAAGACATAGGGTACATATAGATAGGAAAATGATAATAATAATGAGATAGAGATGACGGCAAGAAAGAGAGTATTACACTCATAGCATAATAATGAATAAAGATAATAAGAAAAAGATATACAGATGACGGCAAGACATAGGGTACATATAGATAGGAAAATGATAATAATAATAAGATAGAGATGACGGAAAGAAAGAGAGTAAACACTGATAGCATAAGAATGAATAAAGATAATAAAAGAAAGATATAAAGATGACGGCAAGACAGGATACATCTTTCTTTCATTAGTTTTATTCATTCTTATTCTATCACTGTCTACTCTCTTTCTTGCTGTCATCTCTAGCTCTTTCATTAATTTTTATTCATTCTTATTCTATCAGTCTACTCTCTTTCTTGCTGTCATCTCTATCTCTTTCTTTCATTATTTTTATTCATTCTTATTCTATCACTGTCTACTCTCTTTCTTGCTGTCATCTCTATCTCCTTCTTTCATTTTTTTTATTCATTCTTATTCTATCAGTCTACTCTCTTTCTTGCTGTCATCTCTAGCTCTTTCATTAATTTTTATTCATTCTTATTCTATCAGTCTACTCTCAGGGAACACTTTTATCACTAGAGTCTTCGTCACTGCTCGATTCGTCGGAATCAGAGTCCATGCTCCATGCTTCCATAGTAACAAGATCTCGAGCCTCCTCTACACTAAACACACGTTGACGTTTTCCAGCAGGTGCCATCGTAACATCAGTAAAAAAAATCCAAAGAAAACCGCTAAATACACGGTAATTTCGAATGTAACACTATGAAGAAAAACAGTTTACCGGAAAGTGTGCGATGTATACAATGTAAACAATAGTAAACGCAACGCGTGGCTACACACTGCGAGCGGTATTATGAATGTCTAATTGACTCGTATACATCTGTGCAAAAATGCGAAGTTGGCACGCCTACGTCCGTGCAAATCGGCGAACAAAGCAAACAAAGAGTTAAACAAACATAATACATATACCCGGTAATACATATTTTCTTATTCATAAAAAAAAAAATCTAAAAAAACGGAAAAAAAATAAAAAATTAATACAAAGCCAACAGACGATTTTTAAAAAATTTGGTCGGTCGCAAAGGGCAATACAACAATTTTTTTGTTGCGCCTTACCTTTTACTTAATGACTGAAGGTTAAATTAAATCAAACAAAACATCTCTATAAAAATGATCGTAAATGATCTATTCGTTAACACAAATATATGAAATCTGACAAACAAAAATTACAATCTCTGGAAGCTTAATTTTATTTTAAAAAATCCACAATATCATAGAAATTACAATTGCCAAATTTAACAGCAAATCATCCATTGTTTCTTTGAATGGTACTTTTTATATTCTTTTCATCACACCTAGTTTCTATATGTATAAATGATTTCTTGTATTCTTAGGAAATCTAAATCCATATGTATGTCAATTCCCTCAGACATACAGAGAAGGTAGCAGCAGTCAGAGCATACCTTTGAAGAGGCAAGCTCCTCATACTCAGTCAATTCCACAGGATGGACCTGAAATTCCAGAGAAGCAATCAAGGTATGAAGGCTACTTACTATAGTACCATTAGAGTAAGACAGTGTCCCACTGGTAACACTTCATATTGACTTTGTGTATGTATGATACAGGGCTCCACACTGACTCTTGTTTGGGGAAAAGAGGTTCAGATTGATCTTTTTACAGTCTGTATGCATGAGCCCTGGGTCAAAACTTCTCAAATAATGTTAGCAAACATGTGAATGAGTATGTATAGTTTACACATTAAAGGCCACTTTAATGTGTACACTTTTTTATTTTCAATAATGGGGCATATTTTGAAGATTTTTGGGGAGTCTAGTTTCATGTAAAATAGGGTGTTATTTTTTTTTACTCTACTATAGCAATCTACTATAGCAATCTACTATAGCAATCAAAGATCTACGCAGCAACCAGTCAATACACATTCTACAGGCAGACCAGGGCAACGCTACAGTAGTTCTGAACAAAGGGGACTACAATAAGATCGGTGCGCTACTCGAGACTCCGACTTACAAACAATGAAAGAAAGATCCCACACTAGCAACAGAAAGGAAACTCAACCAGCGACTCCTCTCTCTTCACAGAACAGAAGTCATATCCAAGCTACTCTACTTCAAACTTCGCTCATCTTCAGCTACCTGCCCCATCCTGTTTGGCCAGCCGAAGATACATAAACCTACCATTCCACTTCGCCCCATCATTTCAACCCGAGGATCACCTTGCTATGACACAGCCAAACACCTGACCACGATTCTCCAACCACTCGTAGGACAATTGCAGCACCACATCAATAACTCCAAGCATTTCGTCGATGTCATCTCCAAGACCACCATACACGATACAGACATCATGGTCAGTTTCGATGTTGAATCTCTCTTCACCAATGTTCCTGTCACCGAATCCTGCCGAATCCTCTAAGAACGCCTCGAAACTGACGACACTCTCCCCGACAGAACCCCCCTGACACCGGATGAAATACATGACCTCATGTACGTACTTCTGCCTCAACTCAACTTCCTTCAAATGGCGAGACAATTACTACCAGCAACTTCGAGGCGCAGCCATGGGATCGCCTCTTTCACCAGTTATAGCCAACATCTTCATGGAGCACTTCGAAACAACGGCACTCCAGACTCTCTTACAACACCCTTCTCTCTGGCTCCGATATGTCGACGACACATTCGTCATCTGGCCACATAGCAGACGTGACTTAGACCACTTTCTTGCCCACATCAACCAGCATCACCCGAGCATCAAATTCACCATGGAGACCGAGCAAAACAACAGCATCCCCTTCCTAGACGTTCTCGTTTCTAAATCACCATCCGGCAAGCGCGCTCATCATGTCTACAGGAAACCCACACACACCGATAGATATCTGCACTACAGATCCTTCCACCATCCATCCGTACTACGATCAGTCCCCAACGCCCTCATCCGCCGAGCCCATCAACTCAGCGATGCAGACCATCTAGACCAGGAAATCCAGCATGTCACCACAGCCCTAACCAGCATCAACAATTACCCAAGACATCAGATCAAATCCAAGACTCCCGCCAACAAGCCCGCAGCCAACACCACCCCTGAAGAGAACCAACCCGCAGCTACACCACCGAAGCAAACTATTGTTCTTCCCCATATCGGTCAAGCCTCTCACAAGATTCAACATATCCTTCAAGCAGCAGACATCCAAGTTCGACACAGTTCCTCCAACAAACTCCATTCGACATTCCACCCACACAAAGACAAGCATCCAAACCACAAGGAAACTGGAGTCTACAAAATACCATGCGAATGTGAAAAAGTCTACATTGGTGAAATGGGGAGAAATCTGGAAACAAGACTCAAGGAGCAAAGAACCAGCTTCAGACTCGGCGATTGGGATAAGTCCGCCATCGTCAAACACGCCCAGCAACACGAACACACCATCAAATGGGATAGCAGTCATCTCATCTCCATAATGAAGCACTGGCATACACGCCGAATCCGAGAAGCCATCGAAATTCACCGCCACAACACCGTGCCCCAAGACTCAGGACTATACATCAACGGCATCTGGAAACCCCTCATCAACAAGTACCCGGTCACTCCTCCTCCACCACCGCCTCCAGCACCGCCCTCACCACCCCGACAGACACCCGTACATCAACCACCGCCTCCCGCCGAACCCTCAAAGCAGCCGCCAGCCTCACAGCTACAATTCACAGCAGACGACAACAGACTACAACGCCGCCTACGTCGGGGACACACACAGCGTCTCGCCAACAGCACACCCCACTCATCGACTCGAAACTCTTTTAAGTCCGCACCCCGGTGACTTAAGCTCACGCACGCCAGCCATTCTCCACTCCTGACGACGGATAGTCAACCTGTTTGAAACGTCGAGCCACTCATCCTCTCCAAGCGCTATAGTTCTCCTTAGAACTATATGCTAAGAAAGATAACAAACAGTCCTTTTCAGGACTACCACACCCCCAAGAAAGATTACCGAGTCAGAGTCCTTTTCAGGATTCCTCAGCCCTCTCTCTCTCTCTCTCTCTCTCACATGGTGCACCCGCAAACCCACTGTATATAACAATCATGGATTAATATAATAACAATGTAATAATAACTGCTTAGATTGGTAATAACAACTTATGATAATGACATTAATAACACTGATAATGATGATAATAATAGTGGATTATAGAGTAGCACTCATGTCTGTCAAACTTACATCGTCACTGTCCAAACCGCTCCCAACAAGGTAGTTAGAAAAAACTGGCGTGCCATCGTTTAAAATGGTGGAGGAGCGGTTAGATTGATACTCAACATCTTTGTAGCCAATGTTATGTTGCTAACACAAGACTCAAAGGATAACGAGGGACTAATAGTTTAATGGCGATGTGTATGTTTTATTCACAGCCAAGAATCAAGAAGGCTGCACCTCGACACAACAGTCGGTAAGTGTAAATTAATGACAAAAGTGTCAGATGTGGGGAGTCCAAGAGGGAATAGAAAACTTTTAGTTTAAAAGTGACTCAAAAACAAATAGACCTCTTAATTCTCCCTCAAAATATCAGCCGACTTGCATGCTAGCAATTTGCCAACTTGCAGAATAAATAATGCATGCTGGCAGCATCATTGAATTCTGTCATTTTGTTTTAACATATATGCCCCACACAAAGTCACGCATCCACCGTTCCCTCAGTTTTGTCTACTTGCACATGGGTGTATGATCTAAGGATGGAGATGAGGATGATTGTGGTAGTGGTGGTAGTGATGATGATGGTTGTGGTGATCATCATACAAATCTTGAAAAATCCCAAATGTTGCGTGCGATTGCTTGAGTGAATTAACTCATTAATCTAGTATACTAATAGGTTACTTAACAACCTTGAATCTGAATAATAATAATAATACTAAAGGATTCCAGGAATATATGTTATTATTATATATATAAGGCTTCCAAGTGTTTCAATAAATCAGTGTATTCAATATCTTTAGCGCAGTACCCGGATGACTGACCAATATTATATATATTTAGTATTGCTCAGTCATCCAGGAACTTCAACTATCGATATTGATATCACACGAAAACAAAGCCATATTTGCCAAGGTAATTCAAATTTTGTTATTTGGCTAGTCAGACTATTAGATAATAATAATAACATTGTATGGCTTTGTTTTCTTGTGATACAAGAATATATTGCTCTCGCTATAAAGACAATATTAGAATTATCTTCGACTCATCCAATATTGTACATAGCTCGAGCAATATATTCTTGTATCGCACCCAAAGCCATCCAATATTATATAAGTATTCAATTTAATGTAACTCAAATAGGACACATCATCAGTGTCGTTTACAAAAGAACCAGTAACTGCAAATAGAATGCAGGCATTCCATACTCGACTTCAATATCGTGTAATAAAATCATGATATGACGTATAAATTAAATTTTGTCTTCTCAGAGTTTATGAGAGTATGAATCAAGCTACAAAGCTTTAACCAAGCTACTCTGATAAAGCGTTGTGGCATGCAAGGTGTTTTTGCCTACCGGGTACCCATATACATCACCTGGATGAAGTGGTATGTAGATTAGTGTCTTGCCAAAGGAAACTAGTGAACTGCAAGCCATAAATGATCCACAACCTTCACTGCAGCTGAATTTTCTTTTTCAACTAACTAGTGCTGTAAGTCAGGCGCCATATTTGGATTCGATTCCGTTCGGCAGAGTTCAGCAATTTTTTACCCAAACTTAGGTTCGTGGTCCGGTAATATAATTTTTGCCTACCGGGTACCCATGCTGGAAAGACCTTTATCTTATTACGAGACGCAGTTGAAGTGCTTGTGAACTTGTCACAAATAATAGTAACAATGTTGTTTTTAATACTAAAGGTGACTGACAAATTTTTCTCCAAGTCCAAACAGAAATTTGGACAAGTGGTGAGTCAACATACCTTGTGTGAGTGAGCTGCAAGACACAGGTGTGTGAGCTGAAGACACGTGTGAGCGTCGGCCGGCACAGTGCATAAGACTTAATAGATTAAAAATATAAAAAATATAAAAAAATACTCTTCCCTTGAAATTAGGAACGTAGATTAACTTCAAATAATAGATCCTATTCTTTATTCGCATTATATCATTTTATTAGACACAGAGGTTATCGAAAACCACTAAAAAGTAGCATTTTGAGGACTCTAAATACCCTGTACCTGTTGAAAAAGTGTGTCTTGTACAGTGTTTTATTTGCAATTGTACAAGAATCATGTTTTCAATTCGACAAATGATCATTTGTCGAGTGTTGTTGTCCAATGTTACGATACATGAAAGCTGCCATATTGATACTGATGTATACGATATAATACACCAGTTTACGATTATGGGTGCCATTTTAATTTACGGGTAAACAAACCATTGACCTCTAGAGGTCAGTGGTCTACGCGTAAATTAAGATAGCGCCCATGCAAATATGATGTGAGCGCACAGCGCAGGCAGTGATATCATCAATGTCTTCAGATGCGCCTGTATTGTTGCGTCACTGCCTGCGCCGTGCGCTCACACCATATTTGCATGCGCGGCGTCTTAATTTACGCGTAAACCACTGACCTCTAGAGGTCAGTGGTTGTTTACCCGTGAGTTAAAATGGCACCCATGTCTGCGCATGTGCACTGTTGTAACTGTACACTGGTGTATACACAGAGATAGTAGCCCAGGCTTGTTTCATTACTGTTCTTATAAATGTTTATTTTTTATTTTAAAAATCATATTTTTCCAGAATAAATAAATTAAAATACTATAATATATATTTATTTCATTATTTATATTGTAAAATTTGTTCGATATTTTTACAATCAACATATTCATTTTTGTATGGATTGGGTTTGAGCCGAACTTGTTTTGATCAGCGCCTAGTAGGCACGTGTGTTCATGTTTATAGCTTGCGATCATGACGTTGCAGAGGTCAGGATTTGGGATTTAAATGGTGTCAGTGAAGTGGCGCCCACCACTGGAGAGGCATAAATCACAAAGAAGGAAAATGGGGCAAAAAGCAAATATAGAATGAGCAATCATGAAATGAAAATTAGGTACACTTCAAATGGTACAGAAACTGGAAGATTGTCTACATGCCATTTGCTCCTGGTTGACTGAAAACTTTCTGCTCTTGAACAACAACAAGATGGAAGTGCTACACCTGTTTTGTCACCGAAGAAGAAATACAAAAGAACTCCCTCCAATTCAATTAACCAATGGTTCTATAGATTCTTCCAAATCAGTTGTTAACTTAGGTGTTACGTTTCATCAAAACCTTTCAATGCACCCCCATGTCAATAGTATCTGTCGTAAAGCATCCTTCGCCCTGAGAAAAATTGGTAAAATTCGTAAATTTCTCTCCAAGTCATCTACTGAAATCCTCGTCCACGCATTTATCAGTTTACTACTTGACAGTTGTAATAGCCTGCTCCATGGAATTCCGTAAAAAGATATTGCCAAGCTGCAGAGAATCCAAAACTCTGCAGCACGTCTAGTTTCTCTCACCAAAAAACATGACCAAATTACACCAACCCTTAAACAATTGCATTGGCTCCCCATTCACTTTCGCGTCCAGTTCAAAGTTCTTCTTTTAACTTTCAAGTCTCTACATGGTCATGCCCCAAATTATCTTTCTGAACTGATTCAGTTATACACACCCAATAGGCCCCTTCGTTCTTCAAATCAAACTCTCTTGACCATTAAAAAAAAAGCAAAAAACAAATTACTTTGGTGATAGGTCCTTTTCATGCTCTGCTCCACGTTTGTGGAATTCTCTTCCAGACTCCATTCGTTCCATCTCTGATATTACTTTGTTAAGTTCAAAATTTAAAACCTACCTAATGAAAAATGCATATTCAACCTAGCTCTTAAATTGTTACCTTACCTTGTTATCTTATGTTTGCTAATTTCATTTTAAATTTGTTGTCTTGTCATTACTCCGTTTAGTTTTACTTGTATCAATATTGTAAAGCGCTTTGATATAAATGTCTTATGAAAAGCGCTATATAAGTAAAAGTTATTATTATTATTATTTTATTACAAAATGACAAGTTAATTAGCTTGCGAAAACAGTTACATTTTTCGTTCGGCTCGGCTCGGCTTGGTTTGCTTCGGAAGTGCCATGTTCGGTTCGGTAATTTGGCTACAGCACTATATCTAACAACACCATATTTTAACATAGAAATATACCAATGAATATAAGTAAAAGTATCGTTAAACCTAAACAAATATGATAATACACATCACTTTCAGCTTCCTTTCATATTTAATTTGATTTAATTCAGTAAGCTTCATGATAACTGATATATGGACCAGTGGTTGATCCGATGGGGGCACCTAGGCCACATGACACCCTCCCTGGCTAAAAATAAGGGGATAGAATAGGTGGAAGAAAAGAAAGAGGAATGGGCTGATGACCTTGGTTCGTTTTTATTGTGAAAGATGAAGCAGAGATATTAATATGCTGTCTCTCAATAACTTGCAGGATTATATATATATATATATATATATATATATATCTTTTTTTCATAGATTTAATAATGATTTTGCAAATGGTAATACATGTAATGTGCAATTTTAATGTAGACTAAATATTTCTGTCATAAATCTTGTCTTTTTAGACTCAGAATCTTTTGTAAGAATTCCTGCATCCACCAGCCGTTACCCACGTTGCACTGTCAGAGCAAAAGACTTGGATCTCTACGTAGATCATTTTTGCGATTGGTGGATTGTGAGTGTATACAATTGGTACTTTGTTGGAAAGAGGGTCAACTGCTTGCCATATGTACGACCACCTGTCTGGAAAGAGTCCTACCACTTTGTTTATCTCTGCATCTATGACGATCTCTCAGGTTTTTTTGAGGTGAGGCAGAGATTAGGGCGTTGGGGTGTCAGTGGATAATTTTTGGATGGGGGGGGGGGGGGGGGGGTAGGTATTGGAATCAAAAAATTTACCAAGCACCCCCCCCCCCCATGATTACATTTGTTGGCAGATATTCTACAAGAATTTTAAAGGCAAAAAACAGATAATTAAACAAGAAAATTCAGAATGAGATTATAATTTTTTTCCTGAAATTCCCAGAAAATAAAGAAACCAAAGTCTTAATTGTAGTCTTAATTAGTAACAGGGGGCACAAATAATGACATATTTTCTCTATTTATCGGTACTCAATTTGTCCCCTGAATTCGCCACTGAAATTACAAAAAAAAATAATAATAATATATTTTTGTATACATCTGTCTACATAATATAAACACATGTATAGAGACAACAAATCAATTTTCCACATACTTAAACAACTCCATAGATTTTTAAGGGTATGAATATTTTATGTTTTAACTGTTAGAGAGAGATCGAGAGATCTTCTAGACCTTATATAATTTGTTTTTTCCTTCAACAGAAAATAGAAAAAGAAATGACAGGGGTCAAGATGATCTTTCCGTCCCAGCCAATGTTCGTAGAATGGAAGCATGGAGATATCGATATCAAGTTGTTCGAGGGCCCAAAGAAAAATGAAAAGAAAATTGATGAGCAGGTATGATCTGTATTTAAAAGCTAGAGGTGTGGATAAATAAATGAAATGTAAGGATCTCATTTTATGTATTGCCATTTCTACCCCCTCCCCTCATGTTACATAAACACTTACACACACACGCACCAGCACACATGTGCTCCAACACACATTTTTGTTCTTCATAATTTTTATTTTTATTTCATTCAATATTACATGCCCACACACCTCAAACGCACCCACATCCTTTCTGTTCAGTCTGTTTTGTTCTTTATTTAAAAAAGGGAAGGTCTTCCTTTTCGATGATTATAATAGTTTTAAAAAACAGTATACCGTAATTAACGGTGTATAAACCGCACCTTTTTGCCGCCGAAGAAATTCAAAGTCGGGGGTGCGGTTTATATTTTTTTAAAGTTTGAATTTATTCCCCTCCACCTGGCGCTATGCCTGGCAATGTCTCCCAGCTCGGTAATCGGTGTGTTGACTCACCACTCGGAAACTAGAACAACACTCAAATTTTTCTGTCATCTTGGTTTGAAAGTATTCTTTCTGATCTCAATATGTAGTTTATAATAATAATTCCTCCAATTTTTCTTCTATTACATGGTGTACCACAAGGTTCTATCCTAGGTCCCCTACTGTTTTTTAATTTACATTACCGGTAATGATCTTACACACACACACACACACACACACAACAAAAAAATTAAAGGGCGAAAAAGAGGGGTGCGGTTAATACACGAGGGCGGTTTATACAACGTTAATTACGGTATTTAGAGAACATTATGAAGTTAGTAAAATACAGTCTGTGCACAGCTATACTGGTTGAAAACTCTACTCTCATATCTTTTGTTATGTCCAGTGTATTTCAAGTATCTTCATTACATTTCTGCTTAATTCTTATCATCAGTGATTTCAATTTCATCTTCATAAAAGTGAGTAA